GAGAAACTTTCCGGCCTGGGGCGGGGTTAAGAATTTCACCCCTAGGGATTAGTTCTTGTTGTGTATGATGATGTAGTTAATGATTAATTTAAAGTATTTACTTATTTTGGTCATTATATTCATTCTCTGGTATCTCTCGCAGGTTCAGGGGAAAATATTCTGCCGCTATACCCAACTGTGTGATAGTCTGATACAATTTGTATAAAAGGATCTTTGCTAAATGTACTTAGAGAACATTGCAGCGTGAAAATATGTGAAACATTAACGATAAATACACAAATTAATAGATTTGATACATGTTTCGTGTTTTTACATATTTGGTTGTTGTCACATATTGGTACGCTATTACATGGCTTGGAAGTGACGAAACTGACGTGCTGATTCCAGTATCTCAATACTTGGAATGTCTTTATTGGCAAACCTAAGATTCTCAAAAAAGTAAATTAATAAGTAGATATACATCTAATTGGACATCTTTTCTAATTGGTTAATTTGTCAATACATTGTAAATCTCCCTTTCTGTTTTACAGAGCTTTCAAGGTCGACTACGAATACATCAAGATGACCGTAAGTATGCGTTTTCTTATTTGAGTACGTGTTCTGAACTATCTCTTCTAGATGGATTCAACATTTTCCGCGGTAAATAATACACAGTAGTTTTATATCGAGAAGTCGTCAATATACGTCCAAGAAAAAGGTAAGTGTGACAATTTTCCATGATAAAAAGAGTTGTAAACCATGTTTTAGGTCGCTAGTGACCGAGACTGTCACTCGTGGAATTGAGAACTTCCTAGAAATATAGTTCCTAGTTTCGCCCGCGGTGTCTGTGCTCTATACCTGTTTTTGTGACGTTCGTGATACCCTGAGTTAGTTAGTTGGTAACTATCTGGTGCCATCAATTGTTACACATCATCTATCGGTTATATTTGCGGCACGGTGCTATGAGAGGAAACAAAGTAAAGCATTGTTTTCGTGTTGCTCGTGATACCATTGTTATAGACTTCTCAATGATCATATTGTTTCATAATTATTTAATCATTATTAATCATTAAACAATATGAAAAGTGTTGCGTTTATACATTAGTATTTATAGATATATTTTGTAATACATTATGTCTATTCAAATTATATAGACAGAGTTATTGAATGTTTGATTTAAACTTCCCAAATGTGCATTAAATTTTATTAATTTATTTTCGTGTGGTTTGATTAGAGTGCACGCTATTCCAAGGCTATACAAATGTAAATACTATTCAATCCTAGTCGATGATGATATACTCGGGTCGTTTATAACAGATTAAAGTTCTAAATGAAACTACCCAATACATTAAACAAAATGTATATACAAAATAATCTTAATTCATTTTTAAAGTCTATTGATAGAGCAAAGATTGAGATTTAAAAACATTTACATGCACTCTAAAGCTGATACCTAAAATACATGAATTGTGACGACCTCCTTTACGACAGTGCAAACCAAACATTTTTTAAACTCAAAATTATTCTGGCTATATTGAATTTGAGAAAGGTTCAAATTCCTCACCATTTTAATGCAATGGCCTCTCCCGGTATCAAATACTCCAGATCCCAATGTAGACCAGCGGGACTCCCATGGAACGTGTACAAATAAAATACTGACGCTATATTTACTTGATATCTCAACTCTGTTATAGGAAATTTATAGGAAGTGTGTCGCAACAATCGAATCTTTGTCAAGGCATGTGAGAATAGTGACGTAATCGATATATCATCAATTCAACTCACATACGATGTTTTACTCGAGTACACGTGTTCATATTCATTTATCGAACACTAGTTCCTGCTTAATGTAAATAGTCCCAACGACTAACTAGCATTAAAACGTGTCAGATAAACGGCACCATTTAGAGGATTTGTGATATTACAGTTCTTTTTTCAGTTGGCAGGTCTGATTTATTTTTGTCACAATTTAAGAAACAAATCAAAATCAATACGGGCACCAAACATGCAAAAGAAATTCTTCGAAAAGTGACGTCCATATCTGATCTCTTCATGAGACATAACTAAATAACACTATTAATGTTAACACTTTTGCTCAAACGTTTAGTTTCCGAATGTGTTGTTAACAATTAAACAAAACCATCAGACCAACGTCAACAACCAAGGACACATTCGGAATACGGAAAATAACAAATGGGGGAATAAAGAACCTCGTAAAGTACAGAGGCAAATTTGCTTCGAAAAGGGTATGCATTTCTTCACCCTGTGGAACGTCCATGTATTTTTTCCTCTGTTCATATTTTGTCCTAGTTTTATCGATTTTAGTTTTTCACTCTGACTGGAAACACTATAGTAAATGTCATATTGTTTCTCCTATTGCTTTCAGGTGTATATTGTCGTTTTGTTTATTTTGATTGTACTTGCTTGCCGTTTATCAGATGACTGTTTCGTACGGTACACGTCTGTTGTTTAGTTATTTATTGTGATGGTGATTGCTTGCCGTTTATGCTTGTCGTTTATCAGATGTCTGTTTCGTACTGTACACGTCTGTTGTTTAGTTGTTTATTGTGATGGTGATTGCTTGTCGTTTATTAGATGTCTGTTTCGTACGGTACAAGTCTGTTGTTAAGTTGTTTATTGTGATGGTGGTTGCTTGTCGTTTATCAGATGTCTGTTTCGTACGTTACATGTCTGTCGTTTAGTTATTTATTGTGATGGTGATTGCTTGTCGTTTATTAGATGTCTGTTTCGTACGGTACAAGTCTGTTGTTAAGTTGTTTATTGTGATGGTGATTGCTTGCCGTTTATGCTTGTCGTTTATCAGATGTCTGTTTCGTACTGTACACGTCTGTTGTTTAGTTGTTTATTGTGATTGTGATTGCTTGCCGTTTATCAGAAGTCTGTTTCGTTCGGTACATGTCTGTTGTTAAGTTGTTTATTGTGATGGTGGTTGCTTGTCGTTTATCAGATGTCTGTTTCGTACTGTACACGTCTGTTGTTAAGTTGTTCATTGTGATGGTGATTGCTTGTCGTTTATCAGATGACTGTTTCGTACGGTACACGTCTGTTGTTTAGTTGTTTATTGAGATGGTGCTTGCTTGCCGTTTATCAGATGTCTGTTTCGTACGGAACACGTCTGTTGTTTAGTTGTTTATTGAGATGCTGATTGCTTGTCGTTTATCAGATGTCTGTTTCGTACGTTACATGTCTGTCGTTTAGTTATTTATTGTGATGGTGATTGCTTGTCGTTTATCAGATGACTGTTTCGTACGGTACGCGTCTGTTGTTTAGTTGTTTATTGTGATGGTGATTGCTTGCCGTTTATCAGAAGTCTGTTACGTTCGGTACATGTCTGTTGTTAAGTTGTTTATTGTGATGGTGATTGCTTGTCGTTTATTAGATGTCTGTTTCGTACGGTACAAGTCTGTTGTTAAGTTGTTTATTGTGATGGTGATTGCTTGTCGTTTATCAGATGTCTGTTTCGTACGTTACATGTCTGTCGTTTAGTTATTTATTGTGATGGTGATTGCTTGCCGTTTATCAGATGTCTGTTTCGTACGGTACGCGTCTGTTGTTTAGTTATTTATTGTGATGGTGATTGCTTGCCGTTTATCATATGACTGTTTCGTACGGTACGCGTCTGTTGTTTAGTTGTTTATTGTGATGGTGATTGCTTGCCGTTTATCATATGACTGTTTCGTACGGTACGCGTCTGTTGTTTAGTTATTTATTGTGATGGTGATTGCTTGCCGTTTATCATATGACTGTTTCGTACGGTACGCGTCTGTTGTTTAGTTGTTTATTGTGATGGGGATTGCTTGCCGTTTATCAGATGACTGTTTCGTATGGTACGCGTCTGTTGTTTAGTTGTTTATTGTGATGGGGATTGCTTGCCGTTTATCAGATGACTGTTTCGTATGGTACGCGTCTGTTGTTTAGTTGTTTATTGTGATGGTGATTGCTTGCCGTTTACCAGATGTCTGTTACGTTCGGTACACGTCTGTTGTTTTGTTGGTTATTGAGATTGTGATTGCCTGCCGTTTATCAGATGACTGTTTCGTACGGTACGCGTCTGTTGTTTAGTTGTTTATTGTGATGGGGATTGCTTGCCGTTTATCAGATGACTGTTTCGTATGGTACGCGTCTGTTGTTTAGTTGTTTATTGTGATGGGGATTGCTTGCCGTTTATCAGATGACTGTTTCGTACGGTACGCGTCTGATGTTTAGTTGTTTATTGTGATGGTGATTGCTTGTCGTTTATCAGATGTCTGTTTCGTACTGTACACGTCTGTTGTTTAGTTGTTTATTGTGATGGTCATTGCTTGCCGTTTATCAGATGTCTGTTACGTTCGGTACACGTCTGTTGTTTTGTTGGTTATTGAGATGGTGATTGCTTGCCGTTTATCAGATGTCTGTTACGTTCGGTACACGTCTGTTGTTTTGTTGGTTATTGAGATGGTGATTGCCTGCCGTTTATCAGATGACTGTTTCGTACGGTACGCGTCTGTTGTTTAGTTGTTTATTGTGATGGTGATTGCTTGCCGTTTATCCGAAGACTGTTTCGTACAGTACACGTCTGTTGTTAAGTTGTTTTTTGAGCCTTTATTGTTCATATAATTTGTGGTTCATTCTTGTACACTTTAACCTTAAGATCAGATACAAAAATATCAGGTTTCTGGTCAGTTTGGTCTCATGTTTATATTTACATCTAATATCATTACGAACAGTGTTTCTAATAGTTTGATAAAAAAAAAAAATAGGTGCACAGAATCAGGTGTGTCTGAATATGGTTTTAGAGATTGTATTTCATAATACATTACAAATAAACGATGTTATATATTTAATAGATAAAAATCAAATATTTACTCAGTCAGTATACTAACTATTATACAACAACACCCCTTTCTGTTTTAACACGCATATGATACACAGTAAATAACGTATAAGCTATTTACAAATACTGCGTTTAAAATTAATTCCAATAAGTTGTCGCCCCTTGTTCTAAACAGAACGTACGACCGACTTTATTTACATACAGCACTGGTGTGCCCGTGTACAGTACAGTACTACGTCGGGTGGGATACACACGCACAGCGGAATCGGTAAACGGTGCTCTCAGGATTGTCAGCAAGGTTTTATTTTGTTGGTAATCAGACCTTCACTCCGGACGGTCAGCGTACACACAGAGGAGCAGGATCAGTTTTCTAAACAGTGTGTTCATTGCAGGATAGGATTTGGTCCATAGTGCTTCATCGTTAGACACAGTGGAAATTTATTGAAGCCAGGAGAAGTATTGTATATACTGTGTTGGATTGTCTCCAAGAGCATACAGGGTAAGTAATACTCATGTGTATTTATACATTTTTTTTTTTTGCATATCATGTAGCTTAAAGTACTCAGAGCCGAAACCAACACACAGTGTGAATATATTGAAATGTGTCCTTTTTATGAAATTGATGTCAACATGAATTGTGCAAATAACGAACAAATAAAAATGTACCTTCTTTGTATATTGATGAGCACTTAACGAATCATCTCAATGCTGTTCCTACTTTTTAATAATAAGTCTTTAGGATAACAGCTAGTATCTATTCCGTGTATTTGTACACAAGGTTAGTTTAAAACCCTTCATACAATATTGCCCAGCAGGTAGGCAGATGAATTCTTTTCAATAACATATATTTACCTGTGTTACCGTCAAGCTGTCATGTGTTGAACCATCACGCTCGTGTGTAGGGTTATTTGCATCGATGTTATTTTTATTCAAGCGTTAACTCTTAGCATGCAAACGGAATATCCGTGTGTATAATATTCTATTGAGGTATTGGGGGTGAATTGAACAATGTCAAACAAAACAATTTACAAATTGCGTTGCGTGCTTTATTTTCATCCTTAAAGACAAGCCCTTGTGTACCAAATTCATACCAGTTTAAACACTGAGTTTTATTTTCCTTTGACGTTGTACTTGTTTACATTTAAACTCGTGAACTATTCTCCCCGTGATAAAAATTTAGTGCTGTGAGACCGAATAACAATTTACAATCAGTTCCGTATCGTTTAAATGTCACACGTATATTCATCAATGCGAGCGTTGCTAAAGTGAAAGTCGATATGGTTATCACGCATGCGCGGTAACTAGGTTGAGTGTTATACAGGGTGTATGTATGTATACACTTTATAAACACATCTACATGAGAGGGAGCTGTTCTATCCTAGAGAGTTAAGAAAACATACTAAAATCCTATCACACGCCGAAGGGTTGGTCACCCAAGGTTCATGTTAATAGGTAGTTGAAATTAAAAGCTTTGAACTACTGAAAAGTCGTGGACTTTGATAAGATGCATTAAATATCTATACATATTCACATTTCCAGCTTTGGGCGATGTGTTGTTCTCCATTAGATTTTAAGACTGACATAGTTTGGCCGGATTAAGTTGTCAAAACATGACTTTTAAATAGAGGTATAATCTGGTTAAGTAACTAGCTAGCTTAATGTAGATGTGTATATATATATTATCAACGTGAAATTGTGTACAAAGAATTTGAACGGTATGTCGAGGACATGTAATTATTATGGAAATTGATATTGATTACGATACGTGCAAGGTGAATGAGAAAGGTCGGAGTTAATTATAGTGGTAGTGTACTCTTTTTTTACCGAACACACCACATCGGAAATAGTAATCAACACATGGTTCAGTAAGTTTGATAATTTGTTTAAACATAATAGTATTGCTGTATAAAACGCGGTTCTGTACCTTGACATACATAGCCTGTCGATTCAATATTTGCATCAAACGCTAACGCTTTCCCGTGTTTTTTTAGACATGTTATGGATTGCAGGTTTTTGTGACTCTTTAAGTTTGAATACACCATAGACATAGAAAGCCGTAACCATAACCTTTCTTTTCTCACAGGAATTGCTGACTTACTCAATCATGAATCAGGCGACCTTTATTCACAACCTTAGTGTTAAAGTGTTTAGGTACGCCAGTTTCAATTTTCTATATACATCATCGCAGATCTATACATCATATCGATGTTGAAGGCTTGGTCCTCTAATCCAACAAATACTTCGAACCGTTCGTTAACAAAGTATGAAAGGCGCACACTCTGGCTGTAATCACCTGGTTCTTTTCATCTGCAGATTGCATCGGTGTTGGTTTTCAATTTTAACTTTGATACCAGATTGTAAAGTTTGTGACTGTAGTACAATTAACTATCAAACATCCGACACTAGTAGTTGACGTCATGCCACACAGAACATAATGCACTTAAAGTTATTAAAAAAAATAAAAGTACAAAACCATTTCGGATATTTTTTCTAACGTTTTGTATTTGAATTACAGTAGCACATACTATGCTGCCATTGTAAGTTATATTTGCTATTTTTGGAACCAAAACCATTTTCTATGAAGTCGACATCATCATAATGATTTCATCTATAAAATGTGGTCGGTCATTGTAAGTGGATGCAAATCCTTGTCAAGTGTTTGTACTAATGATTAGAATAAAGTAAACCAATAAATGGGAGAGTCAACAATCCCATCGTTAGTCTATAGCAACGGCCTTTCTGGTGCTGCTACTCCTTCCACTTGTCAACACCAGGTCCAAGTCTTGTGTGTAGCAATAGTTACGAAGGTTCCTCTGCTGTCTTTTATAGCAAATCCACCAAGTGTTGGTCTCAGAAGAAATTTCTCTGTAAGTGTGCTTATACTCTTTTTTAAGTCTGTAAAGACCCTGATTTCTTTGAACTGTTAGTGACTGCGATATCTATATCGGATCGAACGTTGATTCTTTTGCGCAAATCCCAAATTTAACTGCTATAAAATTTATATGATGTTAATGTTTTATCGATATTTGAATTTCCATGGTAGCAATGACCTGTATACCATGTCAATAAGGAACATATAGAGTTTAGCTGTCAGGTGCCAAAGTTTATTTTTAGTTACGGAGCCCTATGTTCACGAGTCCATGGTTTTGTTCTTTGTGTCTCATTGCTTTTGTTTCCTATTCCACATTAATTTTGAGTTACTGCGTTGATGTCATGGAAGCTAGTATATACTGATATATTTGCTCTCTAATCTAACGAGCCACGGATTAGATTTCATGTTGGCCATAGTATAGACGTATATATATGAACTAACTCTTTAACAATTTTGAATTGAGGTATGTGACCGTAATCGCAGGCCAATCATGGAGTAATGAGATAGCATTTCATGTTGAAAAGACCTCAAAATTGTAAGAAATAAGTTGAGCAATTTTCCGTATGAAACAGGGAAAGTAAATACCTCCTTTAGAAACGTTACATCAAATATGTGTCATGTCCATTTAAACCTTACTCGCAGACCAGGTTATTTTTCATGTAATATAATTGTAGTAATGACTTATGTAGGGACTATTTTTTGCAGTTGTTTATATATCGCTTAGCAACAGTTAATGTCATGTTACAAACGTTTAATTGCATTGGGAACTTACGATGATATCTACCAAACTCATTACCTGTCACCGGGGTGCTAAACTGGCAGTAGTAAACACAAAATATAACTTTGTTGTTCTAAAGGTTACAGTGGTGTTTGAATCGAATGTTGTACAGTAGATAAAATTATATACAAAGTCACGTAACTTGTCCGATTGGACTTACCCTGACCGCAGTAGCGTAATTCATACGATGATTGGTATTTAATTAGGCGGGTAGACGTTCAACGCCAATACCGGCAATACTGGTAATGATTTATGCTCAGGGGTGTAATTGGCTGATGTTATCGCCCGGTATTGTGACAAAGGTTATCGTAGCCACATATCACCCTCGGGCCTTAATGAATGAACATCCATAATACGTATGCTTACCTCGCTTATCTCTGCAATTAAACACTCGCCAACTTTGATGGTGACTTCAGTTTAGGGATTGTTACCTACAAAGCGTGTACACCTACCAGCGGTTTATTTGTTGGCTTCATAAAACACATTTTTATTAGAAATCGAACTGTCCGATGTGTTATTTGATAATTTGGTAATTACACGTAATATAATCATATTTTATAAGTTGAATGGTTGACAATGGCCGACACCAAAACAGTCCTTTGACAGTTTGCATTTTATCTTCTATTATGTATTGTACGAGCAATTCTTTCAAAAAACATCTCACTTTGATAAGCTATGGTATATCAATCATTTAAAGCCTTTATAACTCTTTAAACTCAATATGATATGTATATTCTCGTATCATTACTGGCCCAATTCCTACTCACAATTGTAACATGAAGGTATTAACTGTTCTTATTTTCACCGACTTACTCAAACACACTGTATTGGCTTCACACATGTGTCTTGAAGAATGATTAATCTCCTCTGTGCTATGAGGATTTGAATTGAGCGTACTGTGCAAAGTGCTTTGTACATTGTGTATAAATGTTCCTATATAAAGAGGCGATTACTAGTACATTGTTTTGTAAGGGGATGCCAGAATATTCTCCAGTGATTAATATTCCTATTGTTTACGTAGCCGCGCTATGGTATGTCATAACCAGGTATGCAAATGTTAATAGGACCGTATTCTTTTCCTAAACACTTTGCAAGGGACGAGTCTACCTTTTAAATGGTTGCCATTGCTAGGTTTAACGGCTGGTAAAGCCCAATGGGAGAGTTCTCTGAGCTTTGTTAACACCATATTATATACCTCTATTTTAGTTTGTTTTGTTGTTAACTACCGTCATCCCCATGTAACCTTCGTTTTAGCTTAAACAAACATCTAGAATGTAAACGGTCAAAATCAAAACACACAGGTACATACTGTAGTGAATTTGCTTACAATCATGCGTTCCTACCGTATTTCGCAACAACGCATATAGCGTTGCTTCCAGAAGCTACCACAGTGGTTGTATGTTTACAAAAATATTGATATGGAAGTTAAGTATAACTGTGAGCTCATATGTCAACTTATGGAGACGTAGATACTGTTACATGGCAAAACGTTAATAGTCTTCGTGAATAACGTGTTTAAATATAATCAGTGTAATACACTGCTATTACGCTCTCATTTGTGGTCATCGGTTGGCCCAATTCCCCCTCTATTGTACCAGATGATTCACGAGAAGTATCACTTCTACGATGATACATATTTGTATTCACCATCTTCAATTACTGGTTAACTACAACTGGAATTAGATGTTAGTTGTCAAAAGCAATATATATCTCGAACACAATTTAGCAGAACAAATATTTACGTCATTGTAAACAACACTATACATACATGCGTACTACCATCAAGATGGTAATATACTCGAGTAATGTTTAGGGGAGATTTAGTCAAATTTTAAACGAACTAATTGAT